CACGACGTGATCAATGAAAGTTCAGTGGCATGGGGCTGAGGCCACTGTAGTCAGTATTACTTGCCTCGGAAGGAGACAATAATGAGAGATGTGGTTCCCCGTGAAATATGATTAAGCACCTGTCTGTTGGGAGACAAGTGAGTGGTCTTGGGTAGGGTTAAACATGCACTATTGGACAAGATGCAGTGACTTCTACCCGGGATCTGGTTAAATCAGTCCTGAACCTATTTGGGAATTGTCCAGAGTATTTGAGTGGCTAAGAGTAAATGTTCAATACATAGCAGGTAGTTGAGGTAGCAGACTCATCATTGATTATTGTTTTCCTTCTCACTTGAGCCTTCTGCTTCCTAACTCTCATAATGATTACTCACTCACTCACTTACTCTCGGCTTTGTCCCTTGGATAGGCTTAGTTGGGTTTACTAAGCCATAGGAACATGTTCTCTCATTGATTTTCTCTCTGTACTCCCCATCAACTGGAGCACTCGGTATGCTTTGTCATTGTTAGGCACTGGGGAGGATAACATTGAACACTCCCCCTAGAATGTTGCATCCGCTGAGAGATTTCTTGCTTTGTAGGTGTAAGGCGCCAGGAGGAGAAAACTGAAACTCCCCATCAGAATGTGCAAGGTTTGATTGCTCACAACTCGTCATACCCTCCATGTGTGTGGAGCAATCTGAACAAGTACCACACATGACGGTTTCCCTAAGCTCATCATTTGGAATTTCAGCATGTTTGAGGATCACACAATGTTGATGAGTTAGGGGAGGCTTCAGTAATTGATTGTTGATTGTTGTAAGATGACCGTTGACGCGAGGTTGATTGAATTTTCTACGATTTTCGGACCTCTACATTGCAGCTTAGACCTTTGGTTTGACTTTGAAAGAATTTGATCAGATTTGCCTAAGTTTTGACCTGGACATCGGTGATTTACAAAGTTTGTCGGAAAACTAACGTTTTGACCCTCAAGGACTGTGAGTGAGGGCACGTGAGAAAGGGTTCTGGGGCATAGCCCGAGAAAAAATGTAGATCTTTTCGTTATCTTTCCAACAAAAAAAGTTTGCTAAAATCGGATCACCGAGTCAAACGTTATGACCAAAACAGTGTGGTGTCGCAGAAAATCTCGAATTTTGAGTTTTTGAGGAAATTCTTCGAGGTTGAGGTTCTCGATGTTGAATTTCTAAAGCAGGTGAAATTAAACAAAATTCTAAGGCAAAAACTCAAAATCCTAATCTCGAGATTTTAATTTCGAGTTTGCCTTGAAGAGTAATGGCAAAATTCACCTGGAAAACAAACCGCAGAAAATCGAAATCTTCAGAATTTCAAAATGTTTGGAACATCGAAAACTTTGGAGTTTCGAAAACCTCAGAAAATCGAAAACTTGTTGTTTGAAAAACATCATAACATCAAAAACTTCTAAAAACTTTGATAAACAGAGATTCATTCAGAAATCCTATAATGTAAAAACAAAGATTCATTCAATACTCTACACGGTATACCACATTCGTTTGTTCATCTCATATCTTTCTATTTGCTTCTTCTTTACCTGTTTTGATCGTTTGATTGTTAAGTTTTGGGACTATCACCCTCCTTGTGCTATAGAAACGGTTTAGGAACTCATGTTCCATATTTTGCCAGCTGTCAATGGAACCGGGCTCCAAGTCAGTATACCAGTCAAATGCATTTGCTTTCAATGAACGCACGAACCGTTTGACAAGGTGATCTCCGCTTGTTCCCGCATTATTGCAAGTCTCCACGAAATGGGCGACATGTTGTCTCGGATTTCCCTTTCCATCAAATTGGATGAACTTCGGCGGCTGATATTCAATGGGCATTTTCAAATCCTCAATCCTTTGAGTGTATGGCTTAACATAGGAGTAAGTAGATTGCTTTCCTTCTATCTTCCCTTTTATGGTTCCCATGATGAAGTCTTTGAGTTGATCAATCGGGATCATGCACCCAGAGGTTGAAATGTTCTTTCCTGAATCCTCTTGGTGAGAATCATTGTCTTCATGCATTTCGGATCCCATGAGCATGACTTCACTCGCCTTTCAATCTTTCTACTTTGTTGTTCAGATCATTCAGCTTCTGATCTTGAGCTTGCATGAACATACTCATCCCCTCGATGACCTTAGTTAGATGGGCGATTTGTTCTTCCATAGACGTGGTGCTCAACGTCATAGTGGGCATCACGGTGTAGACATTTGACCAATGCGGAGTAGTTCTTTGTGGAGAAGTTGACGAAGAAGTAGAGTCTGAACTAGATGATGAGCTTTCAACACCGCTTGTCCATTTCGGGGAAGTAACTTCACGTATGGATGAAGAAAGCTTTCGGACCATCTCTTGCGCAATTTGAAATCCATCCATCGCACCGGGAGTAGTTCCCGAAGATGAATGCGCAGCTTGAATTCTTGATCGGCTCCTAGTGATGGGGCCTTACATGTTTTGATTCGAGCTTGATGATGCTCGAGAATTCAAACTGAACACGGGTTTGCTTGATGTCATGGGTTCGTTTTCAAAAGTGAAGAGATGAGAGGTAGAGATGTGCCACTGGGCGTGCCAAAAATTTGTGAAACAAATTTTAAGTATTTACTTAAAATTGATCGCAAATAATAATATATGAGAATATTGGGTACAATCTCTAAATAGGAATCCTCTGATTCTTCACTTGCAATTTGACATGAATATAATTAAAGAATTTGATTTAAAATTCAATCTTTAATCCTTCAAACGTTCGAAAGTTCTTCAGATCTTCAAATCTTCGTTCTTGAGATCTTCGAATCTTCAAATCTTCGTTCGTCGGATCTTCAAAACTTCTTGAATTAAGAATTCAACTTGAAGGGCCTCCGGTTTTCAAGTGGCTTGATCTTCAACAAAAGGGCCGTTTTATGGCTTGATCTTCTGTTTCAGAGCCTTCCGGGATATATGACTTGATCTTCAATTGAATCTTGATTCAATCTTCATATGAATATCTTCAAATCTTCAAAGATTCGTTCTTCATATCTTCGAATCTTCAAAGTCTTGTTCTACAGATCTTCGAATCTTCAAACTTCGTTCTTCAGATCTTTGAACGTTCTTCAACTTTTGGACTTATTTTATCAAGAATCAACGAAATCACGAATGATTATTCGTATATTCTTGAGAAAATTCGTGGCTTGATCTCTTCCTCTTCTTTGGAAATTCTCCCCCTTTCTCTCAACTGAAACCTCTATTTATAGGTGTGGAGAGGGTGAAAAATGCTTTAGGGTTTCATGAAATTTGTTCATATGGTTAGGGCCTCAAAGAAAATGGGCTTTGGGCTCTATTTGTTTGTATTTGATAGCTAAAAAATCAGCAATGGTTTGATGTATCTGGACAACCTTTTTAACAAGGTTCGCATATGGACTGATTTCTTAACTAGATTCGTCTTCCTCTTCATATATTGGATCATGTCTCTTATTTATTGGGCCATTATTTAATATTAGGCTCAAAATAAATAAATTAATAGGATCAGTCCATTCTTTTAAAGATTTAATTTATCATTAAATTAATTGAATATTTTAAATGACCCAAATTAATTCAATTATTAAATTTTATCCGAATGGATCCATATTAATATTTCTATAAGGCCCAACAACCATCACGAGCGGCCCAACAGAATCGAACGTTGGCCCAATAATTTTAATATGTCCATAGACTCCACTGTGCGCACGCCGCCGTTTGGTCAGGTTTTTCTTCCTCTTCTTCTCCTTCTTCTCCTCCTCCTCCTTCTTCTTCTTCACCATCCTCCTCCTCCTACTATTATTTTGTTTTTTGGCTTTGAAATTGATTTTCCTGATTTTTCTTCCATTCCTCTATTTTTTTGTTCTGACATTCAATTTGTTAATTTTTTGTCTTCTATTTTGCATTTTCATTTTCAAATTTCTGTATTTTTAATAAATTTCAATTTTCCAGATTTTTGGATGATGGAATAAATTTTTTCCAAGTTTATGGCAAAAATGAGCACACTGGCTGTTGTTTATGGCAGAAAAGATTTTTTGTAAATCTGCTTTTTCTGATGTTTTGTCACTAGCTTCGTAATTTTGATTTTTTATTGTGTTAGAGTGTTTATTCCATTTAAAAGAGAAAATTCAACATTTAGTTGGTATTTCATTTTTTTGCCAAATGTATGGCGGTTTATGGTGTTTTTCCAAGACAAATCTGTCACTTTTTGACATATCTGAAACTTCATATTAATGACAAATTTGTAATCAACCTACAAGGCTAAATCTATCAATTTAATGGCAGATCTATGATACTGGAGTTGTGACGGCGGCGTTGCTCGACTGTGAGTGGTGGCCCCGGATTTAACATTGGCAGCAATGAGGGAGTTGTGACGGCGGTGGCGGATGGCAACACCAGTTGGGCGGTAATGATGTACCAGCCGGGATGCGGCAGTAGGCGGCCCCGACAGATGGCGCCGGCGAGGGGTGGCGGTAGATGGCACTGGCAGAGGGTGTGGCGGCATACGGTGACGGCGGTGTGGGAGGCTGCATCTCCAATTTGCCTAAATATTTTTTGTGGAATTTTGGTGGAATTTTCTCTATTTTAATGAAACGCACTTCCTTATTTAAAAGAAGTAATTCCACTTATGGTCCTTCGAGTTTTGCACCAATTCCACAATTAGTCCTTGTCTTTCATTTTATCCATTTTTGGTACCTAACTATTGTTTTCTTGACCATATATAGTCCTTTTCCGATAGTAAAAATGCTCAGAAATAGACCACAAATGGTCAAGAAAACAATAGTAAGGTACCAAAAATGGATAAAGTGAAAGAAGAAGACTAAATATGGAAATGATACAAAACTCGGAGGACCTAAAGGATATAATGATCCACTCATACTTAAATGAGCCCTACTAAAGCTAACGTACAAAATCGGTCCTATTTTAGCATTTTGGTGAGTCTTTTTGTTCTATATGAGTAATTAACTGGATATAAATAGTGCCGTACTCCCTACCGGGCTCATTATTATTTCAAACTTAATTAATATGACGCCGTAACCGAACATTTTGGCGGTCAACATTTTCTTCCCGTGTTCGGTGTGGATGGGTAGAGGAAATCCGACAACCAGTTAGAATCTGGTATATAGAAAAACACGAGGGAGAGCAAACAATCTATCTATGGAATTGTACAAACACCATAAATGGAACCCAGCTGCCAGTACAACTAACAAAAGACGTATGGAGCCGTTTGGGAACACATGGGTCCCCCGCCCCATGTTAGCTTTTCTGCAATTCAAAGTCTTTTTTTCAAATTCGTTGAGTGGCATGTAAAAATAGTTGCATTGGACGTCTGCCCCCTTTGACTCAACTCCCTCAACGTCTTAGTCCTTCTCTAGTGTGCTCCTTTACTGTTTTTTATTTCTTGAAATTGAAAGTGGGGGTGGGGGGCTTCGATCTCTCTCTCTCTCTATATATATATATATATATATATATATAAACTACCCTAGTAACATCACACTCTTGTTTGATTCCATGAAACTGTCCTTTTCTACTTGTGCCCTTTCTCTCTTGAACTTTCCCATTTTCTCCTTTGAGGTCAAAGGGTGTGTACTGTAGAAGGTGAGGGAGGGAGATGAATGCTTCAAAGTTCATCAAATGTGTGACTGTTGGCGATGGAGCTGTGGGGAAGACATGCATGCTCATTTGCTATACCAGTAACAAGTTCCCAACTGTAATTCTTCTCTATCCCGAGTCCCCACCCCACCTTTTTGTATTTATTTTGTGCAATTTCCTAATGTCGCCCATTTCTGTTCCAGCACTGATGAATTTTTAAAGATTTAGCATTTGCTGTAACTTTGGTTTATTGAATTTCTTGGAAATGTTAAAGATGGTTTCAACAAACGCGGTTATTGAAAAAGATATGAGCTTTATTTATCATTTTCTTTTGTTTAGGTCATGTAAGTCTAATCTGATTATTTCGTTTGGATGCTTGAGATCCTTGAACCTCTCGTTTTGGATGGTTGAAGAAGATACGGAGTATTAGCTTTATTTAACATTTTCTTTTCTCTAGGTCATCCATGACAAATCTGATTATTCCATTTCAATACTTTGGAAATGTTATTTGTGCTGTATCTCATGCACTTCCACTCTTTCCATTTTTTAGGATTACATTCCAACAGTGTTTGACAATTTCAGTGCAAATGTTGCTGTGGATGGTACCATTGTTAACCTGGGATTATGGGATACTGCTGGTACACATCTCCACTTGTTACTTGCTTTCTTTTATTCTATTAAGGGATTGCTATTATTCTTTTGTTGTTGTTGTTGTTATGTGTTGAGGGCTCTTAGTTTGATTCCTTTCAAAGTTCAAACTTCAAACTGATGTGGTTATCTCTGATTTAAAGGGCAGGAAGATTACAGCAGATTGAGACCATTGAGTTATAGAGGTGCAGACATATTTGTATTGGCTTTCTCATTAATTAGCAGGGCAAGCTATGAAAATGTTATAAAAAAGGTATCATCTTTGTACTTTTATTTTACCCTATTTTAAATCACCTGTTCATTTTCCATTACTCCAATGGGATTATGATTATTGGCTCACTCTTGATGATAAGGGAAATCAGAAGTAGGTGTGGCTTTTCTTGATACCTAGGATATTCATGAACTATCATTTTAACCAATTTAACATCATGAATAAATGCAGAATATGTACTTACTGTCTCATATATGTTTGTTCAACTTTGATGATTAGCATCTTTTGTATGCTTTTTTCCGTGAATTTTCCAGTGGATGCCTGAACTTCGCCGGTTTGCACCCAATGTTCCAATTGTTCTTGTTGGAACAAAATTAGGTACGCTTCATACACTGCAGGTTTTTGGAGAAGGATGCTTTGAAAGGATTAATCTATAGTTTGATCAATCAATTTTGAATGTTTCTATATATAATCACATTGACCACCCTGTTTCTTTTATTCCCTCCTCTGCTACAGATCTTCGTGATGACAATCGATATCTGGCTGATCATATGGGCTCTAACATTATAACACCATCTCAAGTATGTTCCAATAGTGTAATATGTGTTCATGCTTCCTTTTAACAGTAAGAATCTGCACAATTTGGTTTGATTTGACATGTAAGGAAAACAAAAATGCAGGGTGAGGAACTAAGAAGGCAAATTGGTGCATCAGCATACATAGAGTGTAGCTCTAAAACTCAGCAGGTTAAATTACTGTTGTTTATATTCCGTTTCCTCATTGTTATGTCTTCTGCAGGCTTTAACCATCCAAACACACCTTTTGTAGAATGTGAAAGCAGTATTTGACACTGCAGTTAAGGTTGTGCTTCAACCTCCAAGGAGGAAGGAAGTTGCAAGCAAGAAAAAGCGCAAAAATAGCAGCTTCTCAATAGTGTAAGAGTTCCTGAATAGTTTGTTAGTTAGTTGGATTAGTAAATGCTTTCATTTATAAAGAAGTAAGCATGTGTTACTTGCTTATTAACAAACAGTAACTCAATCTTCTTTAAAGTAAGAAAAATGAGGTGAAAATTTGCACAAATCTTACCTTAGATAGGCCAGTACGTGGTGGTTCAAAGAAGATTGAACTAATATAACTTGTAGTCTTCTGTGGATATGTGATTCTTTTTGTTTGCGTGTATATGTAACAAACAGGAGGGGTATAGTTTGTGGAGGTTGTGCTGCTTAGGGGGCGAAGTTTTTGCGTCAACATATTTGTCAACCACTCGTTTCACCGGCAGCAGGGAATCCCAATATGTTTTGTAATTTTGAATGTAGCTGCTGTTATTATTAGAACTGAGCTGAGGCGAGGAGGAATCAGCTCTCAATTTCTGTGTATTATTACTACTTATTCGCTGCTAGTATCTTTAACAAATGCCCTTCGATGAGTTGTTTTCCGCAATGTAGTTATCTCCATCAATCTTCTTTTTTGTACTTCACCCCGCTTAAATTGTCTGTTGCGATCTCTCTGGTGCTGGTGGTAATACAAAGATTAAATGTGGGTGCTACTACATAGTGGACCAAGCTTTCGATATCAAATAATGCTACAAGTACCAAAGTACTTGAAAAAACATACACAAACAAGTTTTTCAATTGTTAATCACGTAATTCGTCTACCAGTTTTGGTAGCTTGTGTTGTACTTGTTGTGCACAAAACCAGTCCATGCCCACATTTGACCAAGGTGGATGCAATGTGGTCCGGCTTTGAACCGATAGGACCTGGTCATGGACAGGAGTCACAGGAGGGAACTGTGACAGTAGCCTTTACTATCCAATGCTGTGTCGGGTTCACCAACTATTATCGATCCTCGTATAGCAAAGTGCATGAATTTTATTTGAACATAAATAGCATTGCAACTTCAGTTTTTATACTTTTACTGGATCGGTAGTTGTTTTGAACTTTTGTACCTCCTACAGATGCTTGAGAGCCAAGGGTTTTTAAACATTATTATACATCATAACTCAAGCATTCTGTGTTTGCCGATTTATAGTATGTACATCGATTTGGCTAGGTTACGTGTTGGATTACTAAATTGATTTCACACTTGATTTTTCATTACACCATCACGTGAAACGATATCTGGGACTTCCGGATCTCGACCCTCGATGAGCATCATTGTGAAAATGACTTGTGACTCACTACACAATAATATATAACTATGGTTGCACAAAAACACACTACTATAATGCTATTGCTACTACCTTTGGTGTTAGAGTCAGCGCGGTTGGATAGTATACTTGTTATGATCTCATCAATAATATAAGGTGCTCAAATGAATCGCGGATGATGGTGCCATATAGTAGCAACCAGCACTACCAACGCAGGAGAGCAATAGTAAACGGCAGACACGGTCAAACCCAAATATAGTCGGTCAAAATTGCATTGGGGTGAGGCGTAAAAACGGATGATTCAGTAGACAGTAGGTATGCTCCGGCTCACTTCCAAAAGCAAGTGGTCTCTCCAAGTTGATTGACTATTCTTGATGCGACACAAGTTTGAGAAATATTAATTTTAAAGGGAACAAAAACAACAACATCCAAGCCATATCCCAAAAGAATTTGGATCGGCTATCATGAATCGATTCATGATATCAGACAAAAAACATATAAGAAAAAAGATAAGGTAACATAAAAAAGATAAGATAAAAATAACATAAGAACATAAGATAAGTAAAAGATAAAAGAGATCACATCCAACTTAACATACACATCTCTTTCACACTCATCTTTTGAATGTTACATTATTTCACTGTTCAACACTCCACGTCATACATTAGTGCAGGCCTAATTGATGTCCGATAAAATTTACCTTTCAGTTTAATCGGCATACCCCGATCACATAGAAATCGAGATGCACTCCTCCGCTTTATTCACCCTACTTTTATTCTATGGAATACATTTCCATCTAATTCACCATCCTTTTGGATTATAGAGCCCAAATAACGGAACATATCACACATCGGTATATCCTTACCATCAAGGGTAATTTTGATGGCCTTTAGTAAAAATGAAATGACATGTACCTCAACTTGACCATATGTATGAAATGGCTTAGAAGCTGTTCTCTTCACCTGATCTGAATGTTTCTGATCTGAATTTTTTAAGTTCTGATCTGATCTGATCTGAATTTTTCTGATCTGATATGATCTGATCTGAATCTTTCTGATCTGATCTGATCTGATCTGAATCTGTCTGATCTGATCTGAATGTTTCTGATCTGATCTGAATCTGTCTGGTCTGATCTGAATGTTTCTGATCTGATCTGAATGTTTCTGATCTGATCTGAATGTTTCTGATCTGATCTGAATCCTTCTGATCTGATCTTAACTTTCTAAATTGGTATATAATAATAAGAATAATAACAATAACAATAATAATAATAATAACATCAATAATAATTATAATAGTAATAATAACTATTATTATTATTTAATAAGTATAATAAAAATAATACTCCGTAACAATAATAATAATTATAATAATAACAATAATAGTAGTAGTAGTAGTAGTAGTAGTAATAATAATAATAATAATAATAATAATAATAATAATAATAATAATAATAATAAGTAGTGATATTAATAACCTTTTTAATAATAATAAAAATATTTGATTGCACTTGAAATTGGAATATCCAACTCGTAAAGACGGATAAAGTTGTGCAGTGCGAAAGTTGATACCATAATCGCAAGTTGATATTGAATAAATGTTTGTACTTCAATTCATTCTTCTCGATCAAATGGTGACAGTATTATATATTTAGATTAGATGGATTGGTAGAGATTACTCAATTTTAGCATTTATTAAAAAATCAATACTAAAAATTACTCCGTAAAACATAACAGTAATATATAATATTATATAATAGTAATAATAACAGTAATAATAATTTCTGAACTAATCTGATCTGATCTGAATGCTTCTGATCTGATCTGAATGCTTCTGATCTGATCTGAATGCTTCTGATCTGATCTGAATGCTTCTGATCTGATCTGAATGCTTCTGATCTGATCTGAATGCTTCTGATCTGATCTGATCTGAATCTTTCTGATCTGATCTGATCTGATCTGAATCTTTCTGATCTGATCTGATCTGATCTGAATCTTTCTGATCTGATCTGATCTGATCTGATCTGAATAAAATAAGAATAAGGAATAAGTAATAAGATTAAGACGAAGAGAACAGCTTCTTAGTTTTGCCTCCAACTTGTAATGAGGCAAATGAAGTACTACTCCCTGTTTTACCAATCATTCGTAAAGACAAACCAAATCAAATCATCTTATCTTATAGACACAATGAAGTAATAAATAGTCCGGTGTTAATATTTTGTACGATAATAAACAGTCCAAGATTATAAAATGTCGAATTTAATTTTATTAAGTTTAAACAAAACCAAAGAATTTTATTTCAAAGGATGTAACAATGTGTTTGAAATTTTGCAACAAGACTAATATTAATATTTATGAATTTGAAGTGCTTTATTTACAAGGGAATAATAATAATTTTGCAACTAAAATTTAAGAGTTAATATTTTAACATAAGAATAAATCTTATTTTTAACTCTTTATTTTATTTTTTTTTTCAATTTCGAATTTTAAGTTTATAACTTGTTATCCAATACTATTTTAAATGTATTTTATTTATTTAAAATCAATACAGATGAAGATAAATTTGTAATTTTATAGAAACATTGTGAATATTTTTGCAAATTTTAGCAGTTCAGAATATATAGAAATAATTACATAAATATGACCAAAATAAAGATGATTTACAAAAATATGAGTAATGACTAGAGTAGTAATGAAATCATAGTAATTCATGTTAAATCTTTGAATTTAAATTACCGCAACACCACATTGTAGTAATGAATAGTCATATTTATATAAATATGTTTTATTTTAATAATATTCTTGTAAAAAACTCAAATATATATTCACCTCCGCATGGGAGTGCACTTTTAATTGATTGATTCCCTAAATATTTAGTGTGTAAATTACCGGACTATCCCTGCCCTTTATACGAAAAGCATAATCTGCTTATCTGTTCATGAAAAATCTAAATCCAGATTATTCTTTTAGCCAGCAACCGGCCGCCGCCGTTCTCACGGCCGCCAATGCCAAGCAAAAACGGAACAGACTACAAATACTAAACCCCAATGGACTCTCCACCCGTCAAGAGCTGGAGCATCTACTCTCGCAAAGAGATCACATCCAAATACGAGATATTTGAACGGGTCGGGTCGGGCGCATATTCCGACGTCTATAGAGCCCGTCGCCGATCCGACTCACTCATCGTTGCTTTAAAAGAAATCCACGACAACCAATCGTCCCTCCGCGAAATTGAAGCCATACAGGCCCTCCAGAACTGGCCGAATGTCATCATTTTGCACGAGTTCTTCTGGAGTGAGGACGACGACGCTGTTCTGGTCCTTGAGTACCTCCCCGCCGACTTGGGAGATGTGATAAGAGCAGCCAAGAAGAATTGGGAGAATGGATTGTCAGTGGGTGAGATCAAGCGTTGGATGGTTCAGATTCTGTCCGCCGTCGATGCGTGTCATCGGAATTATATCGTCCATCGAGACTTGAAGCCTTCAAATTTGTTGATTTCCGACGATGGGCTTCTAAAACTAGCCGATTTTGGGCAGGTGGATTACCCCGCACACTACATTTTTCTTTTGTGTGTTTAGTAATTATATTGGTTTGTGTATAATCCTTTTTGGTTAACCGATTACTGAATTCCCTTGTTTTCCAAGGGTGTTTGAAACTAATTCTGATTCTGCTTCTTTTTTAAAGCACAGAATCACTTCTGCACTTTCACCCAAACACCCCAATTGAGGGAGCAGAAGCAGTTTTAAGAATCAGATCCAAACACCCCCTAAAACTTGATATGGTTTGCCCTTTTTGGTGTGTATGCATACTAATAAGTCGCTGGAAATATTGGTGTGTATTTAAGGATTGACATAGTTAACATTGCTTATCAAATGCATGCAAATAGATCATATCAGAGGTTAGAATTCGGTTAAAGTATGCAGCCCTTGTCTTCATGGAAATTGCAATTACTTGCTCTAGCTGTTATTTTTAATTTGAAAGGAATTTTCTTGATGTCATTTGGTTTAGAAATTGGTTCTAAAAGTATTGATGTATAACTCTCTCATTGCTAATCATACTGGTTTGAGCACAGCAGATGGGAGATGGGGAGTATATGTTGTTTTGCCTACTTTCACTTGTACCAAAACCTTTAAATTTTCAAAAGTTTCCCAAATCGTCCAACATTTTTAATTATCTAGAGGTCTGTCGTAAGATCTATGTATATATCCTATTCACAGAGTGGGATTTACTTGGTTTGTTTTCGGAGGGAGGTTTTCAGGTGGATAAAAATGAAAGTTATAGTCAGTTTTCCTTAAAAAGAACTACTCCATGAGTCCATGTGTCCCAATGTCTATGTCTCGCGTGTATAATGAAGCCTGACGGAAGTTGGTTTCAACTTATTTTTTGTAATGTTTCTTTTTGTGCTGATAAATACATTTTAAAAACTACTCCGTACATTTTATGCCTAGCCGTGCCCATCTGGAAGTTCTGTAAAACCAGAGGTGATTTCATCATTTCACTCATGGCTATTGACATAAGTTCAATGCCAGATGTGCACACAAGTTTATCTGCAAAATTCCATTGGCTCAATAACTGTGTCTGTTTATGGTTTGCTTTAATGTAGGCTAGGATGCTTCGTCCACCTACTCTTGCTGCTGTTCATGATGATGAACACCCTCCCAATGGAAGTACTCTAGCCCAAATCAAAGCACCTGAATCCATTGCTGTAATTGGGGATACAGACAAGCTCAGGCAAAGATTGGGAGACATTGATAAAGAGTATAGTATGCCGGACAGGAACACATGTTGTTTAGCAACATGTACCAATAGTGACTTAGAAGGAGATTATGATTCTTCAAAGAGTTGTGAGTACACATATGAAGTAGAAGGCGATGGTGGTGGTGATATAATAGCTCCCCTCACCTCATGTGTTGGGACTCGGTGGTTTAGAGCACCCGAACTGCTCTATGGATCTATACAGTATGGGCCAGAGATAGACATGTGGTCGTTGGGATGCATTTTTGCTGAACTTCTGAGCCTAGAACCACTGTTTCCGGGTACTTCAGACATTGATCAGCTGGGAAGAATTTTCAACGTTTTGGGAGACTTTTCTGAAGAAGTCTGGCCTGGTTGTGTGCATCTCCCGGATTACAATATAATTTCGTTCAATAAAGTGGAGAAACCAATTGGCCTGGAAGGTTGCCTCGTTAACCGCTCCCCTGGTGAGATCCTATTGGTGAAAAAGCTCCTCTGTTATGATCCTGCTGGTAGAGCTACAGCCATGGAACTACTGCTGCATGATAAGTATCTTAACGAAGAACCTTTGCCTGTGGTGGTGTCTGAGCTGAGAGTTCCTCCCAAGTGCAGTGATGATCAAGATGATGAAGATCCACTAGGTGATTACAGAGATGGTTTCGACTCGGATTCTGATTTGGACGATTTTGGCCCGATTAAGCTCTCCACGACCAAAAATGGTTTCTCACTTCAGTTCTCATGAGCTCTAGGGGTTGGTCAGATTGTTAGTTGGTCAAAAACTTGTTTGTTTCTTCAAAGACGAAACGTTAGGGTGTAGTTTGGTGGACTGTAATATCATGCCGTGTAACGTAGTCAAATGCGATTATGTTTGTAATTTAATTTTAATCCCAACGTACCGTCCGGTCGGGGTTGGGGGTTTAGTATAATTACATTTCATTACATTTCATCCCTTCTGCTACCAATGTATCCTTATTGTTTTATTGTTTTTACTTGGACTAAAATTTGTTGGTCTGGTTTGGCCTGTTTAAGTTTGATCTAGTCTGAATTGTTTGGTTTGATAAGTGTTTAGTCTCTGTGTATTTTATAATTATGGAAGTGTGGTCTGTTTAAGTCTGGTCTAGGACTGAAAACATTCCAAGTAAAAACATTCCAAGTGTGTTTTCGCATAAAATTGGTTGAGCTTTTTTTGTTCTTTTTTTTTTGCAAAAAGAAAACTTATTTATCAATGATAATAGAAATAAAAAATAAAGCAATACAATAGTTTGAGCCTACATTGGGATGAGACATAGAATCACATGGCCTTTAAGGATCAAACAAATCTGCTAATCCCGCAACTATGATTCTATGAAGTCTAATCTAATAGCACTTCTACAGTTCTACTCAAAAGAGAATTGATTTGACCAAACTTGCTACTCAAAAGGTGATTAAAAGAAACAAGTTATCCAAACTAGAAAAGAAACAAATTAAATCAAGAATCCCGGCTTCACCAGTCATCAGAAAGATAGAATTGATTTGACTAACAAAGGATACTCAACCGAGCAGAAATGGCAGAAACATCGGTTTGACCAACCACCGAAAAGGAGATCTAGTTGAGCGCTAACTTTCTCTCGGAGCGAGGAGGTGGTTCAGGACTCAGGAAGAGGACGGGTAATTGAAGTCTCAGATGAATTAGGTTGGACCATCCTTGCCAACCATGAACAATGAAAATTCAATACTCGATCAGTTAAACCAACGAGGTACACAAAACCTCTAGACATTGCTAGGAGAAGAACATATTTCACCCTCATATTTCACTCTCGATCAAAGAAGTCGTAGCACATCCCTAATCATCCCATGATCTTCTACAATTATAATATACTCCAACTTTTTTGAAAGGATATACTCACCCCTTAATAGACAATGTTTATTATTTAGTTCTTACATTTCTTTTAAAAATTAGTTAGTCTTTGTTTAATACACTTTTGTTTGCTCACGGCATTAGTTTAGTGCATACTTTGAATCTAGTAGTCATGTGTGCCTTCTTGAAGGATTCACAAGAATCTAGTAGCGTCTCTCGAGCTTGTTGAAAGACGTCACTGGTCTTAGGAAAAAGATCAAATACACCCTTTCATCATTGTAGACCCATCACTTCAACTCATTTACTAACAAACGTTCATATAAACGCATTTACTCTGTAAAAACATTCGATATAGTCAATTTTATCGGAAACAAGTCAACAACCCTCTATTTGAATCCCCTAGACTTATTTACCCACTATTCATATACGAAAACTGTTTTGATTTGTCTATAATTCTCTCACACACGCATTGACACATATATATACATACACACACATTATCAGCTTAAAAATGCATATATTTGAACTATAATTTATAGTGGCAAAAACTTAACGTTTAGGACAAAACATATATCACTTCTTAAATGAGTTAAATCTTATTAGTTGTTTCTTCTGGTAACTTTTCAACAGAGAAATTGAGATAAAGTTAAAAGAAATTGCTCAAACTAAGACTAAAGTATATTCTTCTTCCAAAAATAGGACCACGTGTTTGGTTTTTCCTAAATAGGACTAATCTTTCCAATTTTACCCTCAATTAAATAATTAATTGCCCCTTATTTCCCTTGCATAACCAAGTCAGTCGGTTGATGGCAGTGGACTCCAGCGACGGTGGAGAACTCCAACGGCGGGGAACAGCGGAAGAGGAAGTCTGTAGGACTGGCAAAGCAGATCTAGAGAAAAAATTCTCGCAATTCCAGCCCTATGAGATTATTTTTGTTCAATCACATATAAAAAGTTCTATTTCCATCATTTGCAATGGAACCAAAGATTCATTATTTTTTGGCTTGAGATTATGATGAAATAAAGCAAACTGGCTCACTAAACTGTCTGCGCTTCTTTGTTATGAAGCAGCGGTCAGTCCATGCAATTTTGGACGGGATTTTCACTATGGATCATCCGGAAACAGTCTCTCTGTGCTTTAGTATAGAGATAAGATTGCGTACATCTGACCCCACAGTAGATGGGAGCCATTGCGGCACTGGGGTAAATGAAAATGATGACAAATAAAAAGTTCTATTTTTGGAAGTTAAACAACTCGGTCTTGTATCTGGAAGACGAATGAGTTTTAATGTTATGTGAGGTATTCTCTCATAAAGTTATAGCCTTGGAATTAAAAGTTATATTTTTGTTACTGTAAGTTGTTGCTATCTTCGTTGTATCTTGGTGTGTGTAGAAAAGAAACATGACGAGGCCACATTGTGATTTAAAATTAAGAAGCTAGTGCTGCAGCTGGACATTATTTCCGACTAATAAATTCTGTGCAAAGCAAACGAGATGCAAGTAATTGAATACAGCGTATTGGAAAATGGAAATCATTACATACAGATTACAGAGTATTTCAATTTACAACCACCCATAAATCCATAATAACATAACATATCTTTGGCAGCGAGGAAAACCTCTTCAGCAGCAGGAGCTTGAAGGTAAGCAGCTAGTGCGGATGCCAGATGGCTTAATAGTTGATACTTCATCTCCGTGACCATATCAATCTGAGTTCATTCTTGGGGGAGGAGAGCAATCTCAATCTCTTGCAGTGATTTGCCTTTGGTTTCCATCACATTTCTCTTCACAAAACCAACAGCAATCATGCAGAAGGTACCAAACATGCCATATAACACCTGAGGCCCAACTTTCTCAAGCATGCGCAAAAACAGCAAACCAACTAGAAAATTGAACACCTAATCACCAGGCACAAGCAAGGGTAGACCACCGTTAAACTCATCAGTAAATTTATTTGATAAAGTATGTAGAGGAGAGAAACACCCCATAAGGTCGTACAACTTACCCAATGAACTGACATACAAAATGCCATAGCTTTTGCCCTGATCCTGCCAGGAAATATTTCGGGCAGGAGGAGACCTGGTACTGGACCCGCACCAATGGCAAATGTGAAGACAAAACTGCGCAACACAAGTTTTGATAAGTCAAACAACAACCGTTTGATGGTTTAAACTATCTAAGAGCTTCAAACATACTAGAACAAATATCTTCCCAAGCAGCTAAATCTTTTGTTTTTTACTAGTTTGAATTTCCATCTTTTTTTGCTTCCGTAATAGATTTAATCAGTCAATGCGACCCATCCAGAACCAAAAAGGATTAAGAAAAAAAATGAAAGGAATTGCTCACAATAGCATCCCAGCAACAGAAAGGAAGAAAGAAGCATAGCTTGATGCAATTGTAGAGGCAAAAACTTGAAGTCCCATCGATACAGCCTGAATTGATCACACAGAGGTCACACAATTAAAACTATGAAGAGTACAGTTAGGAGTCTAGGACCAATTTTTTTCTAGGGTGCTCTAGTTTGAACTGGTCTTTTAAAGTCTCGCCGAGCCTGGTCTGGTCCATTTCTCTTTGATCTTATGCGTATTTTATTATTCTCTACTGCGGGTCTTGTCAGGTCTGTTTAGGCCTAACTATCCCCATCTATTCTGAGGCTGAAATACATCCAAGTGAACATGTCCTTAATATGTGTTCCTGAAAAAGATAAGCTAATGCAAACTAAATGTAGCGTACCATGCCCAAAAAGCTCCAAAGAAGGAGACCTCTCCTTCCTAATCTGTCCATCAAAATCAACGCAACAACTGAGCCTGCAAAGCAATAAAACCATGAATATTGAGGAAGGGAGCAAAATAACAAAAGGGGGGAGGAGGTTCTTTCTTTTATTTGAAGCTTGCCAAGAAAAAACAAATTACCTGTCAAGTTTGCAATGCCAATGAAAACATTTGCTAGGTTTGAGGATACTCCAGCATGTCTAAATACAGTTGAAGAGAAATAAAACACAGCATTTATTCCAGATAGCTGTTGTAAAGCAAATAGGGTTGATCCAATAAAAACAACTGCAAAAGAAGCGAGTAAATAACAGGATCTTTGGAAGACTAAAATGTATAATACAGCGACTGTTGAGAATAAAATATGCAGCGAAAGTGGACAGCTCCAAAAGAAGATGACCTCTGGAATGCCGGCCATAAAGGAGTTCAGAGAGCTGGATGGTGTCATGCTCATCCCCTCTATCCAGCTTGGACAGCTCCAGCATTGCAGTTCTAACATGGGAACTTCCTTGTAGCTTTTCTAGCTCAGCTTCAGCTTCTGTGAGTCTACCATGCTGTACAAGGAGATTCAAAAAATTAATACTGAAAAACATGAACGATGTAACATTTAGTTTGTGACTTGATCTAACGGTCTAACCTATGTAAGGATTTACTTTCCTAGTAAACTTGGGGAAAATGATGTTGGTATTCAGAAGGCTTTTCAAGCCATATACTTGTTATGACCTGAAACATCCTTTTGTTATTGAATCCTTTTCTATGTGGTAAATAAGGATGCGTAGATGGCTGGATGACATCATTATTACTCTTATTCCTAAGATAAGAAGAAGAAGCCTGAACCTTTGTATGATAATAGACCTATCAGCTTATGTAATGTTCTCATCATAGATACCATCCTTGATCCACTAGGCTCAACAAAGTTATGCAGAAGGTTGGTTCTCCTAAGCAGAGTAGAATTACCCCAGGGAGACCTATAGTTGGATATATTTGCTTACATCTAAAATGTCGCACCATGGCGGAAAATGTGTGAGTGGCGTGTTATCTTTAAACTAACATGCAGAAGGCCTCTGATCGGGTGAAATGACGGGTTCTGCTGGAGGCAGTGAAAAGAATTGGTCTTAATGATGACTTGACTTCTAAGATTGAAAACCACATAGCTGATTAGGGGTTTTACATCATGATAAATGGTTAGTTAGCTATACTCATTGTCTCCTCAAGAGCTTTAAGAGGAATGTTACATTGACAGAAGTGAAATACACTCCCTCCGTCCCGTTGAAAGGTTCCCACTTTCCTTATTTGGGTGTCCCATTTAAAGGTTCTCAATCCATTTTAGGAAATAATTTACTCTCTTTAATTACACTTTTACTCCACAAACTCTTTTGGGATTAAGGCTTGGATGTTGTTGTTGTTGTACTTACACTTTTACTCAAATTTCTCTCATATTCATTACATGTCAAGTCTCACAATGTCCCCTCCCCCAACTTATCTCTCAACTATTTTCACTTTATATGTTTACTTTTTCTAAATATTATCTTTCCTCTCTTTTTACCCAAATTATTTTATTTAATCACTTACCAAAAAAATTGTGCCATTTACCCACGGGAACCTTCCAACGGGACGGAGGGAGTAGCATTTTCTAGAAATAGGAATAGGAAGATTCATCACAACAACAACTTTCAAACCTTATTCCCAAAGAGTATGTGGTCGGCGAACATGAAATCAACATATTATATCGGAATTAAAGATAATACATAGAGAAAGAGGGAGACAACCAATATAAGATCAGCCCCCCACACTGCGTTCTCCCTCCGTTTTGCCCTCTCCAATGTCAGTCTCATATAAACCTAAGTAGTAACTGTAGTATCATATGTAGTACGTAGTATCATTTTTTTAGGTCGCCCCCTCCCTCTCCTCCCTCCACTCCTCTCACTTGGTCTTCTATACTAAATAAAAAGCTTCAAAGCGTAAGATACATCAGGTGACCAAAATACCCTTGTTCTAATACCCACAATCGGTATCCAGGGATACATAAAAGTTGCTGACTATCCCGTTCCCAGCTATCTCTGTTAGCCGCCAGCATTATTGACTAATAAAGTAATAAGTTCTAGTCCGTAAATTACTATGTAAGAGAAAATTAGGTTGGTATGCTTTCTAAAGCAAGGAATATAGAACTTCTAGTTTACGAATAAAAAATAGGTGGACCTATTTTACAGCCCAGAGAAAAGGAAGTATAGAGCTGTTATTCTGATCTTAGTAGGTTTGGTACTAAGGGAGTTCAGGGATAAATTGGAACATGTAGGAGAGCTTGAATCACATTATATGGCTTATTTGCAACAGCCCAGAGAAAGGAAGAGAAGTGAGATCAACAGGTTACTTGGGAATAACAGAATTAGGTTATATCATCCAATACAGGTTTCATTAAAAGGAAGAGAAGTGAGATCAACAGGTTACTTGGGAAAAACAGAATTAGGTTGGTGAAAAGTCAATACGGATGTTGCTAAGAAAGAGAAGAACTGCTCAGCTATGTGAGGAGTTGTCAGTAATGCCAGCGGTCAACTTATTGGTGGTTACTGTTTTGGTCTGACTTTTTGTATCAGCATGGGATACCACAAACTCAAAGTTAAAAAGAGACTCTTCAGATGCTATTATGTTATTAATCTTTGTAGGGATTAAGCAGATAGTTGGCCTCGGAAGTTGGTCCATGACTTGATGAAGATTAAAGACTTTAGATCCAAGGAAGAGGTGGTGTTTAGACTTTAGACATGTGACTAGAGAGGGAAATGGTGCTCGATAAGATATGTTTGATAGATGTAGTGACTAGAGATATATGCCAAAGTTCAATATTTTGTTTTTATAAGAAGGGCTTGCCTTGCTACAGGTTTAGAAGGATATTCAAAAAAAGGTCTTGCTTTGCTTCAGGTTCCATGATTGAATGTACTTCTGTTTTAGTGTTTTGTCTAATGGAACTCTTCAAATTATTTTATTTTATTTTAAAATATGCCTTGGGCGTTGAAACTTTTGAATTTTAAATGTAAGATTGCCCTGCTAAATAGGACATGGTGAAAATTTAGCCCAGAAGATTTTACATCATATTCCAGCAATAAGCAGAGTTAAAACCATTTCCAGAAGAGTTTTCCAGTGTCTAAAATCAAATAAACAAACTACCTTATAAAGCCAATAAGGTGACTCGGCACAAAAGATCATCCCAAATGCCAGCACTGCAGCTGGAACTAAAGATACCCAAAAGCATATACGCCACCTGTGCATAAAAGAGTATATGCAAATAAACATATAATGCAGTGTAATAATTAGGTAAGTAATTTCACACAAACTTCAACATTGTGAATCTTGTAATTATACGAAACTCAAGCTAGAATTCTTCTCCTTACCAGCCCATTATGCTCTTAACTGGGACGCCAACGACAAAAGCCCCCATTAGTCCAACACATGTTGCTATTTGGATAGAACTCCCAAAAGTACCCCTTATTTGTACCCACCAATGTGAGAGGTTTTTTTTTCGTTTGTGAATCCCGTTCACAGACAAAATAAGTCTTGTTTTGTCGGTTAAAATTTGAATTTGCACAGACAAAAAAAAACCTCTCATATTGGTGGTGGTGGGTATAAGGGTGGGTACAAATAGTATTTTTCTATCTCGATTGGAACGGAAGAGAATTATAGAGTGCATTTTCATTACGCATAAGAATAGTTTCTATACCTCTGCTACGTACAAAGAGGCAACAGGTGGACCAACACCTAATCCTATTCCGACCAAAATCCTCCCTAGGAGCATACCTGCTAAGGTTTTAGTTGTTGCACTGGTAGTGCATGTGTTAGTTTGCACTATACATCAATGCAATAGCAAGTATGTGCATCAAGCCGTCAAATATGGGTTAATTGAATCAAGGGTCTGGAGTTTACCATACTAAAGCACCAATAAGCATGGGCAAAGAACACAACTGAAAAGCCCTACGCCGTCCAACCTCATCAGCAATCCATCCACTGAACAGAGATCCCAAAAAAGCACCAGCCAGGCAAGTACTCACCACCAGACCTACACTCATATCAACATATTTAAATTCATTTTCACTTTACATCCACGACTTTCATATTTTCACTTTTGGTGCATGACTATGAATCTCCTGGCACTTTCAGTCTATCAGATCACTTATCCGGCAAATCATCATCTGGAGGATTGTACAGAATTTGGCCTGGCTAGTCATTTTAAGAACCAGAGTGGGAAGAAATCCGTAATCATATACCAGTAATGAAAACAGTGAAAGTAATAGCATAAAAGTTAAAATGGCGAAATAATCATGTGACCAAGATTGGAATATTTTATATTTAGAGTGTGTTTGGTAACACTGAAATCGGCTGAATCGGCTGATTCAGCTAAAATTTATGAAGTTCTGGCTGAAGTAGTTGTATTGGTTGATTCTGCTGATGTATGAAAAAAATAAATTTAAAATATATTTTATTAATAAAATAAAGAAAAAATTATATGTAAAAATAGCTAAAAGGGTCTTCTACAGTAACTTCGACCGATACAGCCACAAAAGTAACTACAACCTTACTTTTTCTTATTATTACACATTTCAGAGCACGAAATCAAAAGCTACGTGTTTGGTTAAGAAGTTGGTTGATAAGCCTGATAAGCCGAAAAACAGTGTTACCAAATGGGCTCTTAATTTAACAGAAAGTTTGAGTTGTTTGAGGGGACCTTCTGCGAGCGTATTCCCGTTGAATCCAAGATCAATGGAAATGCTTTCAAGTGGCTCATTAACTACTCTGGAGGAAAGGAAGAAAATAAGAATAAATAACAATGTTCATAAGGCTCAATGAAAATTAGTAAGAAGAAAGAGAGGGGAAAAGAGATTTTAAAACAAACCCAATGTGATAGCCAAACAAGAATGAAACTATTGTTGCCACTAACACATGTGGGCACGAACGTTTCCAGGAGGGAGTTGACATCTCTTGTTGTTCATCACCGTTCTCAATGAAACCTTAAAACAAATGCTAAAAACTTTCGGAAGTGCACAAGCGAAAACAGTAACAGATGTTAATGCATATTCTGTACATATGCAATATTTAATGGTTTTAGGTGTCAGATTGAATTGGAGATTTCTATCAATGATTTGTGTTCATTTTTCAGAATTTCTTAAAGCCTCTTGCTGTGGTAATATAGTTCAATAGTGTATCGGTGTATGGTGACATCCATGAAATGCACCGAGCAGTGACATGATCCTCATAAAGATGCATTATTACAGATTAAAACTAGTTCCAATTGTCAAAACAGTGTGATAAGAAAATGATGAATGAAAACATATTACCTAAATCATCATGCTTATCAAGTTCAACATCATCAGCCTCCATGTAATCCCTCGATGTCATTCTCTTATACATCGATGAGGAAACACGTGAATGCCCAAACATGACACAGCTCCTCTGCCCTTCACGACCAATCAAAGTAGCAAATAACTCGACCACACTGTCACGGTAGAACCAAAATATTTTCAAGGAACAAAAAAGCTTACTTTAAGGGCCTGGTTTTTGATAATGGTCCAGATATGTTTATTGCTAACCTATATTTCCATTTAATTCCAATTGTACATCCAGATGAAAGTATTGGCGGAAGAATTAGCCTATGATTTTACAGATAATTATGTTTTAGAATAAATTTGGCTCTCATCTTCACAGCCCATAATATGGACACGCCAACTACATCCTAATACCTTCTACAGCTCCACCTCGGTTATGACGAAACCAGGATGTATGAAATTTCAGTTACCCTCGCCCCACATGATATTGCCTTTTCCCAGAAGCTCCCAAAAGAGCCCAATTGTTGATATCATTGGTGGAATTAGATGGTCTAATGTTGTGAAGAAGAAAAACAAAATGTACAGAATGTCTTCTGAACTTGAACCCTTTAGGACAAAAGTTTCCATTAAAAGTTAAATATTTCTCCATGCTGTTCTAGTTTCACTTTCAGCCTAACTTAAAGCCTGCTTGGTAGCTAAACGAGGCTAATTCTGCTTAGTTTTCTCATCAGCAGAGCTAATTAGAATAAGGAAATCTTAACTTTACCAGACGTTTTTCCTTCCCAAAAATTCAGCAAATTCATATCATATCAGGATAGAAGAAGAGGAAGGTTCGGCTGCAGGTCATATAGAAGAAAAGGGTTTTATCGTTTGGTTCACAGAATGTAAAATCACCTTAGGTACAAGAAAGTAAGATTACCTATGTAATACATGTAAGATCACCTGATGTTTTTGGTTTTAGAAAATAAAGAAGTAGCTTTGATAGGTTTAAATGCGAATAGAGTAATATACGTAGTAGGATTTAAGGGCAGAAATAAAATGTTCTAGAGAAAATATTACAATACCCAAGAAATTCAGGGTGATCAGATTACCCAATATTAGCTCATTATTTTGTATGGCAACAGTATGAGAACCCAGTAAAGTTTGAACTTTTCTCTGCAAATCTTATAACATGACATAATCTTCCCAACATTCCCAAGGTAGCCTTAAATAACTTGAAACGGACCCCCCCCCCCCTCCACAAAGTCAATGCAGTCATTTATATTCACTGCACAGCGAGTTAAATATGCAGTAGATTCTTCATTACTTGAGCTCCAGAGTCCGTAGACATTCAAGTTATTTCAGCACAAAAAAAAACAGCTCTTAACATATAGCTCCTTTCTTTGGGAACAATTTTCTGGGAAATGGAAAAGCGAAATGGGAACGGACTGTAGGAAAATGGGACTTATTTTATGGGACTGAGGGAGTACTAAAAAGTCCCTCACTTTTCCTTCGGGAGTTTTGACATTTAAAACCACAAACAGTACAAGGGGCGTGATTCTTGATGAAACAGCATAAGAGGATTGATGAAAGACAAGTACGAATCAATCCTCTGTCCATAGATGATGAAGCCTATTGAAACTATTGACAGTTTAGACTTTATTACCTATATGGTCTATGGTTTATGGTTCGATCATCAACGAGCGGAGCACGATTTGCAATCAACGAAGAGAATAGGGAAACGCTTAGTTGAAGCGCGAGAAGCCGTCGTATTCTAACGGAACTTTACAGATAATACTCCCTACAAGTCTGTAAAAATGGAATCTTTGTATATTGTTGGTGAAGGGAAGGGCCGAGAGCGGTGGCCGGGATGCAATATAGCCCCCTCTTCTTCTTTTCTACTTGTGTTCGCGACAACGACGTATGACTTGCTTGTATATACTCATCACTCAGTATATTTCTAAATTAATTCGCTCACTTTTTCTCCGGGAATAAAATACGGAGTATTATTACAGAGCCAGTCGCTGACCGGTTGACCCATTGGTTTGTCGCGTCTCAGTAAAATAAATAAATAAATAAATAAATAAATAAATAAATAAATAAATAAATAGGGGAAAAATAATTTTAAATAATACAAATTATCTTCCATGAACCAAGAATAATACATACTTTGAAATTACTTTTAATAATAACAACTATCCAAACATAGACCAAAAGTGATATAGACACTTTTGGTCTATCAAATAAGTGATTGTATTTCCAAATATAATTTATTTGATAATTTTCTATTAGATTTTAATGTCTTAAATGATTGGATTTCTTGATGAAAAGTGACTTTATATTATTTTTGTTTTATATGCAAATAGTTGGTATTATTAAAAATCATTTTCAAAGTATGTATTATTTTTGGTTCATGGAAGATATTGTTGGAGTATATGGCCCGGGAACCCCCGGCCCACAGACTCCTACTACTCCAATAAATGCCCAACAGGCCCAGAGAGCACAACAGGCCCAAATCACAGCGTCCAGAGTACCAAGCAGTCCACAATGCGCACCAGGGGTGCCTTCGGCCCCCTGGCCGAAGGCTCTAACTCTCACAAGAGGGCCAAGACAGGAAAACAAAGTTACTGGGAAAAACGGCGAAAACCAGTAGCCCTCGGCAGTGGGAGCCCTCGGCACTAAGGGGGTCCCCGGTACTCAGAGCCTTCGGCTAGTCCTCTACAGCCGAGGGCACCTTTCCCGACATAATATCCGCACCACATGCATACAGATCACCGTACCCTGTACAACGTCCCATCCAACAGCCGCATTAAATGCGGCCACATGCGGTTGCCAGCGCCAACCAGATGAGGTGACCTCTCGGCCAATGGACGCTTGACACGTGTCCTTGTCCGGCATTTATTGTTACTATAAATAGCACCACATTTCCCCATTTGTAACCACGCTGAAAACGTTGAACACTCTCCAATATACTCTCTCTATATATACTTACTTGCTCTGACTTCTCTCTTGTTATTCCCCGTAATAACCCCTCGGATAAGCTACCCCTCGGGTACACTATCCATCATTTGGTGCTCTCGTTGAGAGGTCGAACAATCAAGTAAGAAACCCTCCCCCTCGACCAAACACAAAAACACTCATCTAAAATGGTGAGGACAACTCGTGCCAACTCCAAGAATGTAGAGAACAGGAACCTGGCCCTCGGCGAGGTCGACGTCCCCGAAGCCTCCAACAGGGCTCCCGGGGGCGGCGTCATCGCCGGGTTGGACCAGACGGTTGTCGACCTACGCCAACAGATTCAGCAAAATGCCCCTGATGCCCGCCTCGGCATCGAGGCCAAGAAGAAGGACCGGATCGAAAATCAAATTAGCCCTCCGGTCATCACCATAGACGTACAATCGGCGCTCTCCGCCTTCATCCAGACGCTCACTCAGAACCCGGGTGCCTTCGGCACTTTGGTTCCCCTCCAACCTCAGGTGGGGGAGAATATTATGCCTCCCCCTCATCCACGACCCCTAGGTAACCCCGTCCTCCAGATGGGAAACTCCCAGGGGTTCGTGGCCCAAGATACGCCCTCCCAGGAGGTCCAGTCTCGGGACCGCCACAACGTGAACAAGGAGCAGTTCCGGACCTCCGCCCTCGAGAGGCTCGGAGGGGCGCAAGACCGCCTCGGGGGGAAGGTGTTCCAAAGGCCTCAGGAAAGTGGCGGGTCCGTCTCCAGGGCCAATGAAAGGCGTCCCCCTCAGGACAAGGGCAAGGCACCTCTCCATGTCGACGACGCACGCCATCAAATCAATCAAGCCCACTCGGCCCGGGTCCATTCGCAGGGGGCGGAGGCCCTCCCGAAGGACCCCCGGGACGAAATCATCGCGGCCCTCCAGCGCCGGCTTGACGAGATGGAGGCCACTAAAGCCCACGCCACCACCTCTGCCCCTCATACAGACATCAAGTATGAGGCAATGATGGCCAAGATGGAAGAAATGCAGAAGAAGATAGCCGAGGGCTCCGGGGAACCCACCATACAGCTCCGGACCCGGACGCCATTTACCCCAAGGGTATTGGCTGCCCGGATCCCGGAAAAGTACCGAGGGCAGCTCATCAAGCCCTATGACGGAAAGACTGACCCCCAAGAGCACTACAGCAGGTATCAAAACAGCATGATGATGGTGGGGGCATCGGATGAATATTTGTGCCGCTGGTTCCTCTCCACCCTAGAGGGGCCGGCTTACGAATGGTTCAATCGATTGCCCGAGGGCTGCATTGACTCATGGCAAGAACTCGCCCAGTGATTCTTGACGCAATTTACGGGGAGGCGCCGCACAAGAAAACACTTCTCGCACTTGCTAACAGTGAGGCAGAAGAAGGAGGAGACCCTTCGGGACTTCCTGGAGCGCTGGAGGACGGAGGCTGACAAAGTTGATGGCGCTGACGACGGGACCCTCCTGGCCCTCCTCCAAACAGTACTCCGCCCCGGAAACTTCTCAAGGAGCCTCATCATCGAACCCCCCCCCCCCCCGCGATTATATAAGGGCCCTACAGTGGGGGGACCGGTACACCGAGGCCGAGGAGGTGGAGAAATGCCACCATGTCCCAGATCAACAACGCCCTCGGCCAGAAGACAAAGGTAACCGGGGGCTCCCCGCAATCATCCCAGGGATTCTGCCCCCTCCGGTGATCGCCCTCGGCATGGCCAAGCCAAGCCCGAGGGAGGCTACAAGGGTAACCCGAGGGCTTGGGCACAACCTGTCCTCCTGGAGCACCCTCGGACATCGTTGACGCACCCTGTCAGCGTCATCCTGGATTTTGCCGAGGAGAGGGGCCTCGTGGAGCGAGATTCACGCGCGCCCTCGGAAGTATTTGCCATCAATCCAAACTACCCCTACTGTCGTTTCCACTGACACCAGGGGCACAAAACCGATGATTGCCATCAGCTGAACACGACCATCGAGAAATTGATACAAGCGGGCCATCTGTCCGAGTTTGTCCAGGGCCCTCAGCAACAGGGCCCCCCTCATCAGGGGCCCCCGAGGGCAAACTGCGAGAGGGAATGCATGGGTCAACCCCAACACCATCCCCCTCGGCAAGAAGAGGGAGATTGGAAATCTGGAGGAAGAGGAGGAGGAGTACCCCCGGTACCAAGAAAAGAAACGCCACATCCTCATGATTACGGGGGGGAATACCGGGGGTGACTCCACAAGTCAACGAAAGAAGTGGGCTCAATCACTTTACGTGGGGGAAGTCACTCATATGCCCCCGGTAAAGCGGCTGAGGGAGGAACCCATTGTCTTCACCAACGCTGATCTCCCCTCAGTATCCTCCCCCCACAGGGATGCCCTCGTCATCCGCACAGAGATCAACGACACCATTATTCACAGAACTTACATTGACACGGGCAGCTCCGTCAATGTAATGTACCTCAACACCTTCAGAGAACTGCATCTGGAGAGGGGGTCCCTTCGGCCCATCAAGACCCCTCTTGCCGGCTTCACCAGCGACACCATTGATTCCGAGGGGGTCATAACCCTCCCGGTCATCTTAGGCGACAGTCTCCATAGAGCCAAGCTCGAAGTGGAGTTCGTCGTCGTCAACATCGACTGCGCCCACAACATCATCCTCGGCCGGCCAGCCCTCGAGGATCTCGAGGCCGTCTTCTCCATGAGGCACCTCTGCCTCAAGTTCCCAGCCGAAGGGGGGATTGGTTACTCAAAGGGAAACCAAAAGCTCGCCCGCGCTTGCTACCTTCAAGTTACAAAGAAGGTTAGCAATACGGAGTTCCGCGTTGACACCATCACCGGAACTGTGGAAGCGGAAGAGATGAGGCCGAGGGCTGAACCAGCCGAGGAGGTAGAAGACTTCGCGCTCGATCCGGCCAAGCCGGAGAGAGTCGTGAAGATTGGAGCCAAGCTCCCCGAAGATTTGAAGACCGGCATCATCAGCGCCCTCCGCGCCTACTCCATTGTTTTTGCATGGGGGTCGGAGGACATGCCGGGGATCAGCCGAAGGGTCATCACCCACCGCCTCTCGGTGGACCCTTCGGCCAAACCAGTACAGCAGCGGAGGAGACCCCTCTCGGCCGAGAGGAGGGAATTTGTGAAGAAGGAGGTCGCCATGCTCCTCTCTATCAGGCACATCAAGGAGGTAAAGTACCCCTCATGGCTGGCGAACGTAGTTGTAATACTTGAGATTTAATTTAAACGGATTAATAGTACTACTCATACCGACAGAAGTGCATCTCCTTTTAAGGGAGCTTATCACCTAAGAACTCCAAAGTTAAGCGTGCTTGCACGAGAGTAGTCTTGGGATGGGTGACCCCCTGGGAAGTTTCTCAGGGCGTGCATGAGTGAGGACAAAGTGCGCGGTAAAGGCTCGTGGTGGTTTGTGAGGACAGTACTATTGGTCTAGAGTAGCTACCTCGGGTCCTGCGAGGCCGGGGTGTTACAAATGGTATCAGAGCAACCCTGCGACGGTGTGCTGATCCGTTGGATATCGGGCGGGCACTTAGTAGGGGAAAAGATTCTGGGATATGATTGAGATTGGTGTTTGGGCGCAACGAGGACGTTGCGTTCCTAAGTGGAGGTGATTGTAATACTTGAGATTTAATTTAAACGGATTAATAGTACTACTCATACCAACAGAGGTGCATCTCCTTTTAAGGGAGCTTATCACCTAAGAACTCCAAAGTTAAGCGTGCTTGCACGAGAGTAGTCTTGGGATGGGTGACCCCCTGGGAAGTTTCTCAGGGCGCGCATGAGTGAGGACAAAGTGCGCGGTAAAGGATCGTGGTGGTTTGTGAGGACAATACTATTGGTCTAGAGTAGCTACCTCGGGTCCTGCGAGGCCGGGGTGTTACAGTAGTCCTCGCACAGAAACCGCCCTCATTCCGCATGTGCGTGGACTACACGGATCTCAACAAGGCGTGTCCCATGGACCCCTTTCATCTGCCCAACATTGATCAA